AGGCGCGTATGCTGTATCATGGGGGGATGGTGGCTCCATGAGGCAGGCTGCTGGGAGGGTAAGAGGAAGGATTGAAGGAGGGAATGGGAGCGAATCCGAGGAAGCGAATCTGTGAAAACGAGAAAGAGGAGGGGGTAGGAGAAGGAAAGAGAGGAGGAGCAGCTGCCGGATCGCATTGTCTTTTTGCAGGGTGCGTGTAGTGAAACGCGTGATGTGCAATGTGTGAGATATGTGGTGTAAGATATGTCGGACGGGCGCTGTTGTGTAAGCTATGTGGCGTGAGCTGGGTGGCAAAAGCTACGCGGAGTAATTCATGTGGTGCACTGGTCAGAACCCCCAAGTACAGGCGTTGTTATGGTTTTCCCAGCATTGGTGTTCTTGTCATCAGTTTCTGCTTTCACGAGCCGTTTTCGCTCAGCCCTCGTTTGGCCCTCCTCCAGGTCGGGCAGCCGACGTCATGATGCCGTTGGGTTCCCGACGTTGCTTCTTCGGTATTCTTGAGACCCGACACGGCTCAAAAGGGCCTCCTTTGGGGGGGCGTCCTTTTGGCGTTTTTGGATAGTCTTGGTGCCGTCTTGGAGCCCTCTTTGAGTTCTCTTCGGCCGCATGTTGAACCCTCTTGGAAACGTTTTGGATTGGTTTGGATTGTCGATCGGGGGCCGAGAGAGTTCCTGGCGACCCCGAAAAACCACAGAAAATGGGACACCGCCCCCGCCCCATCGGTGTACCGGGGAGCCCCCGGTACACCGAGGGCGGGGGGGGGTCGATGTCCCATTTTCGGCGGTAATTGAAGGTTGCACACCTCCATCTTGGACAGCTTCAGACAGCCCCAGACGTTCTCGAGAGGATTCCAATGCGGCCAAAAAGTGTTCCAAGACGGCCAGAAGGCGGCCCCAAAGACAGTTCCAAAACGGCCCCACGAGGCCAAGGACAGCTTTGCACCCTTACACTCTTGCGCCTTTGCGCGCTTGCGCCCTTGCCCCCTTGCACCATTTGCGCCCTTTTACCCTTGCGCCCTTGCGGCCTTTGCGCCCTTGCGCCTTTGCTCCCTGAGCGGCTAGGGGAGCAGGGCTGCTCCCGTAGCGGCTAAGGGAGAAAGGGAGCAAGGGAGCAGGGCTGCTTCCTTAGCTAAGGGGGCAAGGGAGCAAGTGAGCAGGGCTGCTTGCTCCCTTAGCGGCAAAGGGAGCAAGGGAGCAAGGGCTGATCCCTTAGCTAAGGGAGCAAGGGGGCATAGGGGGGCATGGCTACTCCCTTGGCGGCTAAGGGAGCACGGGAGCACGGGAGCAGGGCTGCTCCCATAGCTAAGGGAGCAAAGGAATAAGGGCTGCTCCCTCAGCGGCTAAGGGAGCAAGTGGGCCAGGGACTACGGTTGCTCCCTTGGCGAAGGGAGCAAGGGAGCAAGGGAGCAAGGCTGTTCCCTTCGCGGCTAACGGAACTCTTGAGCAAGGGAGCAGGGTTGCTCCCTTAGCTAAGGGGGCAAGGGAGCAAGGGAGCAGGGCTGCTGCCTCCGCGGCTAGTGGGGCAAGGGAGCAAGGGAGCAGCCAAGTATTAGCACACCGGACCCCGCCCACGCTGAAACATCCGAGGCGGATCCAGCCGTTGCGTCGAGAAGCCCCCCAGAGGCCCGAACGGAATGACGAACTCCTAGAAACATGGAACCTCGAAGTTCGAACAATCCGTCGCTATTTTTTCGCAACGCGGCGGGCCCAGTTTTCAGTCCACAACTCCGGCCTCTGGCGGCCGTTCGGGACGATGCGGGCAGTGCGGGCAGCCCAGGCAGGTCCCTCGGCGAGGCGCAGCTGCTGGCAAACATCCCCAGGCGAGAGGGCCTCCAACGACCAAAGGGAATTCCCGACGGCTTCACCAGAGTCGGGCGGGTGCCCATGGGTGGGGATGGCCCAGCTGGGGGGCGAAGAAGGGGGCCCCAAAGGCTTGGCATCGCTCGGACGTGTGCATGTTTCCTTCGGCGAGGACCATCGAGGAGCATCCTTGATCAGCTGGCGAAAAAACCACGCACGACACCGAAAAAAACACAGGGAGTGGACGTCCGAGCGATGGCCAGACGGGGGGCCCCTTTGGGGCCCCCTGTGGGGCACCTGCTGGCTCTCCCAAAGGGGCCCTGCAGGGCCCCATGGAGGGGCCCGGCTCTTCACCCCCCCCCCCGTGTTGGTGCACCGCCCCGCTCGGCACCCCGCCCGCCGAGGGGGCGGTCGGAGCCCCGCCTCGCTCCCCGCTCCCAGACCCTCTCAGGTCATGAAAAAATCACGACGGGAGGTTTTTCGCCATTTTCGGCCTCTGGGGGCCCTCACCGGGCCTCGGGACCGTCAAAAAACGAGTCAGGATGAAAAACCGGTCCCGGGGAAGGGGTCGGGACCTCTGGGGGTCGCGTCATGAAAAAATCATGACGTCGGGGGTCTGGGCTCCTCGCTGCCTGTGCCGCCCGCCCGCGCCGCCCCGAGGTGTCCCCCGCGGAGCTGCGCAGGTCGCTCGGCCTGCTGCTGCGCGCCCCTCAGGGGGCCGCGCCTCCCCCCCCCCCCCCCGGGGGAGGAAGGGGGGGGAGCGAGGGAGGGGGAGCGAGGGAGGGAGAGGGGAGGGAGGGAGGAGACGGAGGGAGAGGCGGGCAGGAGCCCAGGGCCTCCACCTTCCGTACTATCCGCGTGGTTGGTGAGGAAGGTTGCATTTTTTCATGTGAATTTCTTGAGTTATCATGAGGCTATTCGTGGTTTTCATGAGTAGCATGGTATCACACAGGGTTTCTTGGAGTTACATTGGTTTTGGGTACATCAGGCGAATGGTACGACCCACTATGTCTCAACTAAAACGCCCACCACCCACGTAAACCGAACCTGACACACCAAGCCCAAAGTAGTTAGATGTACACTGTTTTTCAAACTAGGAATTGCCCGAACGAACACGAACCTACTTTTTCAATTAACGCTTCATCTTGCCCTAGCGTTACCCTCGCTTACCTCACGGACCCAACCGAACCAAACCTTCGTCATAAACAAGTCGCAACCCTAATCCCAATCAGCATACCTTACAACACACCCCTGACCCAAACCGTAACACCACACCATATTCAATCGAGAATTCTCCCCCACACCGTTCAGCACCTTCAGCTCTGACCTAACACCCGCATGCTGGGGGGGGCGGCGAGGGGGGGTGTGGAAGCGCAAGCCTGGGCCATAGCAAGAAGGCGACGACGATTGGCACGCGCTGCAAAACAAATCATAGGAGAACGCAAAGCTGAGAGGTTCGCTCAACGAGCAGGAACAGTATGCCGACAACCCTTGCGGGGCTCTTCAGACCATCTTAGGCTCTTTGATCATGTAGGCAGCCAGGGCCGACGCTGAAGAATTCAACATCTAGGTTTCGCGACCCCCTGTCGTTGCGTAAGATGGCTGGAGGTTACAATTGAAGACACCATTACTCTGATGCTCGCGCATATATTGCGGGGCGGCGGCGGGTCGTCCACACCAATGTTCATTTGTGTATTGATGTGGGTGATCCAGGTCGCAGCTTACCTGCGCCGTAAGTGACGCGGCAAAACAATGGTTTCATGCAGATATTCATACTTGCGTGGCCTGGCTTATATGACGATATGTTCCTGGTGCAATACTTCCACAAATCTACCTTCAGGAAGTATGATCCGATGTCCATGGTTGGTTTTCGGGGCTCGTGGTTATCTCTGGGTGTCTTCAGACGTCCTCTGATTTCGGCGCCCCTGGATCGGTCAGCGTATCCACACCCGTATGCCACCACGTGTTCTGTATGTTTGCTTGTGCGCGTGGATGTCCCTGAGTGTCCCGAGGTCTCCTTAGATGCCGCTACGTATCTTTAGGGATCCGCGGGTGTCTCTGGGTATCCCCATGTGTCCTGGGATGTCTTTCAGTGTCCCTGGATATCCATTTGTCTGCACATGTCCGTGGCTGTCCCCAGGTGTCCTTGGATGTCCTCAGGTGTCCCTGGATGTCCCAATGTGTCCTTGTATGTCCCTGGATGTCCCTAGATGTCCCCAGGTGTCCTTGGATGTCCCTGGATGTCCCTGGATGTTCTTTGATGTCCTTGGATGTCCCTGCATGTCCTTTGATGTCCCTATTTGTCCTTGGACGTCCTCTGGATGCGCGCCTCGGACATGCCACCCTTGAAATTCCTCGGGTCCGTTCGAAATCAAAGGCTCGTGCGTTCAAGTTGTGGGGGATCTTATTTGAAAACAAATGCAAATACAATACGCGTGCACAACTGTTTCTGATTCCTACACTGTTCGATCGACTGCTCCATACGATGGCGAACTATTCTGGTCTGGGCTTCGCTGATCTCCTCGTCGTTTGCCGAGTCATATGTGCTGTTCATCTCACAGCAAGAGAAACTCATGCCACTCCTCCTCTTCTGAAGATGCGCTTCTGCTGCTGCTACTGCTGCTGCTGCCCCTTCTCCTTCTCTTGAATATCCTCCTCCCCCCCTTCAGAGTGCCGATCACTCAAATCCTTTGCCATGCAATGCCCCCGCCGGCCCGTCCAAAAAGCAGCTCATCGCGCCGCGCACGGAAGTCTGGCGGTAGACTGCGATGCCGGACGGCATGGTTATACGTTTTTTTGGCGGGGCATCGGGGCGGGTTCTCGACTCTACAAACGACGGGGCGTAGACACAGAAGTCGCTCGATTTCATCGTTCTGTTAATGCCTATCTCGAAGCTCGACGCGACGGTCGATACGATTCGATACCAAATTCGAAATTCTTGCCCGCGCCCATGACACAAACAAAACAGCACGACAAATCCGCAGTGTAACTGTTACTGCACACTACATGTTTTGGAGCCATTATCCATCTTAGCTTTTGTTTGAGCAGCTGTTTCTGATGTTGCTGCACATTTGTGTGGGTTTCCTATGGGTTTCGTGGTGTTCGCACGTGTTATCATGGCGGTCTCTCTCTAATTGGAACTAGCCACGCCTTGTTTTGTCTACGTTTTCCCAGGTTCCTGATGTGTTCAATAGGGTTTCATGAGTTTCAATACGTTTCGCTGAGTTTCCACAAGTTTGCACAGAGGGTGATGTTATCCTTACGTGTCCTTATTTGTCCTTCGATGTCCCTGGATGTCCCTAGATGTCCCTAGATGTCCCGGGATGTCCCTAGATGTCCTTGGATGTCCGCAGTTGGTGTCCCTGGATGTCCCTAGATGTCCCTAGATGTCCCTGGATGTCCCTGGATGTCCCTGGATGTCCCTGGATGTCCCTGGATGTCCCTGGATGTCCCTAGATGTCCCTAGATGTCCCTAGATGTCCCTAGATGTCCCTGGATGTCCCTGCATGTCCCCGGATGTCCCTGGATGTCCCTAGATGTCCCTGGATGTCCCTGTTTGTCCCTGGTTTCTCTGTTTTGCCCGGTGATACCATGTCCCTGTGTGTCCTTGATGTCCGCGATTTTCCTTGTTTGTCCCTGGATATGTCCCCAAATCTGTCCCCGGATATGATGATGTCCTGTTTTTCTTCATGTCCTTTTTTGTTGGTGTGCTTGTCTTCCGTAGTTGGTTGACAAACCCGTTGTCTGGTCGTGTTATGTGGCCCCTAAGAAACATCATCTTGTCGGCGTGCAAGATTTGGCCATCGAGGGCAACACCCGCCGACATCAGCGGCCCAAGAAGGCCCCAAATTGAGGACATGTGAATGCTTGCGCGGCCCAAATCGGCGGACATCGCTTCATGCTCAGCCAGAAATTCGTGGACATCAGGCCCGACAGGGCCCGCAACCGCGGACATCTGCTTGTTTTTTGCAAAAACAATTCATGAAAACTCAAAGATTTCATTCCTCGATTTCAAAAGGAATTTTGCTGTCGGGGCCAAAAGCGTGGACATCAGACATACGTTGCAGCCCGAAAGTGCGGACATCGTACCCCGTTGAGGCGCCAGAACGCGGACATCGCGCATCGCCGCGCCGAAATCCAGAAACGCGCCCCGCGATCCTGAACCTTCCACGCCGGCCACGAGCATACCATGGATACCGCGGAGGCGTTCCCTTCTGGATTCTCTTATTTACTTCTCCCGTCGAAATGAAATTCCATACATATATTTGAATTACACGGTATCTTTGGATACATTAAATATACTTCCTTGTATTTCTGGAATTCCTCTTTCACCAACCAAAAACACAAAATTGTCCGTCGTAACCTAGAGATTCTTTTCAAGAGCCCTGATATTCACGTGATATCATGGTATTAGTTATGGACCAGCCATATATCAACGAAACAACTGTGCTTTCTCATTGTCTCCCAAACACATTCATGAATTCCAAAACAAGTCTCGGTGTACGTGCATTGTCTGACTTCTCGTGGATGCATTTGAAAACGGTGCAACCCCACACCCTAGGGTTACTTATATGTGGTGTTTTGCACACGCGCATGCCGCAACGCACGTGGTGATGACACATGCGCGTGTCATACCTTACTTCTCTGTAGCGGCATGTTGCGTTTATGTGTGCGACGCAGCAATGAAGACACGCATGTTCAGCAACACTCAAGTTTCCCTTGCAATGCCAGCATGCAGTGTATTAGTGCATGCGTCTAACCAGATGAATCTTGTAGGTTCCATGCTGGCTTCCTCCCCATTTAGTGCGGGAGCATTTTGTGGCGAATGTTGTGTCGCATTTGGTTTGAGACGAAGGGCACACACATGCACATTAACTATCTCTATGCGTTGCTTTGGCCTTCGGCATGATGTAGGTACATATGTAAGAAAGAGCGTGTTCTACCGCTGCTGGCGGAAAAGCGGGGGGGGTCACTACCGGTTCGAACCCCTCCCCCCTCCGGAAAACCGGGGGGGTCACTACGGTTCGAACCCCTCCCCCCCCCCCCCCCCCCCCCCCCCCCCCCCCCTGCTCATCATGAAAAGGGGGGGGGGGTCACTACCGGTTCGAACCCCCCCCCCCCCCCCCTCGAAAACCGAGTGGGGGTGCGGACAGTGGTGGGGACGGTGTTGGTGGGGACAGTGGTGAGGGGACAGCGGGACAGTGGTGGGGACAGTGGGGGGACAGTGGGACAGTGGTGGGGACGGTAGTGGTGGGGACAGTGGTGAGGGGATAGCGGGACAGTGGTGGGGACAGTGGGACAGTGGGACAGCGGTGGGGACGGTAGTGGTGGGGACAGTGGTGGGGACAATGGTGGGAACAGGGGGGGACAGTGGACAGTGGTGGTGACGGTGGTGGTGGGGACAGTGGTGTGGGGACAATGGGAACGAGGTGGAAACAGTGGGACAGTGGAGGGTACAATGGTGGTGGGGACAGTGGTGAAGGCGGTGGCGAGGACGGCGGTGGGACAATGGGACAGAGGTACAGTGGGGACAGTGGTGGGGACAGTGGGGACAGTGGTGGGAACAGTGGGACAGCTCAGTGGGACAGCGGAGGAGTCAGTGGGACAGTGGGGACAGTGGGGATAGTCGGGCAGTGGTTGGGGCCGTGGAGACAGTGGGGAGAGTGGAACCGTGGTGGGAACAGTTCTGGGGACAGCGGGG